GCAAGTGGTCTTTGCCCCGGCATCTTGCCGTCTGGCTTATTTCTTAGGTCCCACGCTTCCACTTCTGTGCACTTTTTTGTACCTAAAATGGAAGCTTAGTTTTAAAACATTTAGACATCAAAGTCGAAAAGATTTCCAGAAACCTAATTCTTTTAATCTTTGTTACGATCCAAACAGCGATGACTGCTCCAAGTGAGGTAGAACACTCTCAGCTGTTGTCCCATCCACAGAAACCCTTTTTCCCTGCCCAGTTTTCATTTGTAAAGGTGTGCTGAGACCCAGCACTGATGCAGAATGGGCAGTGGAAACTGAGCCCCCTTCCCTTTAAAGAGTCTACCACAGAACAGTAATCAGTGAAGCAACAGATAGTATTTTCTCCCTTCCCAGGCCTTTTCTTCTATGCTGTTAAGAAGATTCAGCTTGGAAGGTTGTGATCAGCTTAATCAGTTTGCTATTATTTGGACTGCTGTTCATAGTACAATTTATTAAATGAGTTTATTATCCTCCCAGCAAACTTCAGTGATCAGAGGGTGAAAACATGGAAAGAAAATTAAAACTAGTGTAAGTGCTGCCTGTTTGGATAACAGCACATTTTGCTATTTAAAAGATTACTCATCTGCACCAAAACAGGGAGAGAAGTTAATTTTAATGATGTAGAGCTTTCTATTTCAGGGAGGCTTGGCTTGCACATTGTGAGAGATTCAGGAGAAGTGTATAATTCATTCTTAAATTGTTAAACAGAATGTTAGGGCCAAGTATCTAAGTAAATATGAATGGATTCATTTGTAATCTTGAACAAGCATGTCTGCGTGTGGGAGGGTAGGGACTGGAGGCTGGGATGGCCTGTAAACAAATGCCAGAGGAGCAGTTGCACTTCAGGTTTTAGAGGTTCTAAACTGGCCAAAATAACCTGCAGGGAAGGGAAACCAGCCCTGTCTGCTTGAAAGGGAATTCAGCAGGTCCCCCAGTCGTCTCCCCCTGTGCCCTTCAGCAGGAGGGGGGAAAGTTCCCTGAATTTTCAGCGTGCAGTGGCTCTCCCATCTTCAGAATATCTTCAACCTTCTGTGTGTAAAGTGAAGCAAAGCACCTCGGCAGGAGGCAGGATGAAAGTCCTGGCCATGCTACAAGTGGTCACCAGGCTAATGGCATCCGAGAGCAGCTCTGCTGGGATGGTGAGGCCAGAAGGAAGAATTGCAGTAAGACCACCACAGGAGTTTGACCTAGGGAGGAAAAAGCCTTATTTTGGAAAGCATTGGGACTCCTTATGTTAAGCAGACCTGCTGTTGAAGCTTCTCCGCTATCTTCATACAGTTTTATTTACAGCTCAAAATAAAAAAAAAACAGTAGTTCTTGACTGGTACCATTAATGTATACACTGTATATCAAGTTTATTGCGAAGTCTGTTAGCAAGCTACCGGCCTAGTTTTTAATCTGCAGATAATCTTACACTCATTGATATGTTTGGGCTGTATTACTTTGCCCGGAGTAGGCACAGCCATTGGAATCCTTCCAGTTCACCTAACAACTTTCATTAAAGAAAATTGCCCTTGTAATAAAAATTACTCAGTGTGACAAGATTCCATAATATATTTTTTAAAGCCTCGTAAAATTTTGTAGCAGTTAATGCCACTTGTTTGTTTTTTTGACATTTTCTTTTAAAAGCAAAAATTGACTTAATTATGACAATATTTGTAATAGAGTGAAATAAATATTTTTCTGTCTGGGTATGTGGAGGCTGGGCTGAGGGGCAGGAGTAGTACAGGGATAAGGAAATAAGAAAAATTTGTCTTTGAAAGGTACGTTTCACTGTGTTTTGTATGTTGTTTGTGAGATTGCTTGGAAGTCTGATCGTTTCGTAAGGGAAAATAGGTACAATAATGTCTGCTCACATCGCAGTTCGTGATACATAAGTCTTAACATTATAAAACGCAATGCTAAAGCCTGGATTTTTCTGCAGCAGTTGGGAACAGCTTGTCTGAGCATCATCCCTTTGGTCCGTGTGTCCCCTGCTTCACCGAGAGCACACGGTGCTGATGTAGCTTTTCCATGTGAGAGCACACGGTGCTGATGTAGCTTTTCCGTGCTTCTCCCAGCCATCTTAACCTTATAAAACGCAATGCTAAAGCCTGGATTTTTCTGCAGGAGTTGGGAACAGCTTGTCTGAGCATCATCCCTTTGGTCCGTGTGTCCCCTGCTTCACCGAGAGCACACGGTGCTGATGTAGCTTTTCCATGCAGAGACATAAGAAGCTTCATTAGATGAAATTGCACAACAAACCAGGGTGGTTCAGAAAGGTATATGATGCCAAAACGTAAAATGACCAGCACAGAGATGGAAGACAAACCCCTGGGATCTTTCACAGTCTCATTTTCTTGTTTCTATCAAAATAAAGAGTTGCAGAAAATCCGTATAGATTTTCCGTTATTCTGGAGCTTTGAATGTTTCAAGACTTTCCAGCGCTTTGCGGGTCTGGTCTAGAAAATGTACCTATTGTGCAGTTTGATCTTGCAAGTGCTACAGTATCTGTGGCTACTATTAGGGGAATTGGACCCAGAGGTTCTGTGTGATGGTTACCTCCTTTGCTAAATGAGCACCGGCAGCCACTCTCACGTTTATCTTGTCTTGGGTAGATTAGCTCAGGTGTACCTCCTGGCTCCTGCTTGACAGATTTATGCTTGAAGTGAGGATTGTTTGTTCTCTTCTCTAATGAACTAATCTTTTGTGATAAACTAACAATGGCAAGAGATGAGCTGTGATGTTAAACAGTGGTGGTAGGAGATGAGCTGTGATGTTAAACAGTGGTGGTGGCTTTCCAGCGCTTTGCGGGTCTGGTCTAGAAAATGTACCTATTGTGCAGTTTGATCTTGCAAGTGCTACAGTATCTGTGGCTACTATTAGGGGAATTGGACCCAGAGGTTCTGTGTGATGGTTACCTCCTTTGCTAAATGAGCACCGGCAGCCACTCTCACGTTTATCTTGTCTTGGGTAGATTAGCTCAGGTGTACCTCCTGGCTCCTGCTTGACAGATTTATGCTTGAAGTGAGGATTGTTTGTTCTCTTCTCTAATGAACTAATCTTTTGTGATAAACTAACAATGGCAAGAGATGAGCTGTGATGTTAAACAGTGGTGGTAGCTTTTCTTTTCTTTTCTTTTTTTTTCTTTTTTCTTTTTTTTTTTTTTTTCTCCTTGGCTTTTTAAGTCTACCCACTGCCTCAGGAGGAAGGCAGCTGCACTAATAATATATCTAGTCTCCATGGAAGGCTCTGATTTGAAAAATCTATAATTGAGTGGACAAAATTTTTGGTTGCTTGAGAGGATCTATTCAGAAGACACTTAAAAAGGATGAGGGAAAAGCGTGCTAGACAGCAAGGAGTACTGAGGGCTCTATTGAGCAGGGAAACCTATGTAGATATTATGGGACAATTAGACTTGTCAGGCAAAACACAAAAATGCATTTGTGAGCAAAAAGTCCTGGGGAACGTTAAACAAAGCTTTGAAAAGGGCAAAGAGTTTGCTGGGAATACCTCAAAAGCAAAGAAGTTGATTTGGGTGATCTTTGAAGGAAGGGAGGTGATGGCTGTTTCAAAGAGAAGGTGCAGAACGTGTGTTAGTCATAGGGATTTTGCCCATTTTTTTCCTCCAGTAGCTGAAACCCTGAAGCACAATTGCTGGGTCAGCACCATGGGGGAGACCTCATCACTTAGTTAAGTTTATTTGCCCCCTTTGCTCTTTATAGAGAGCTGTTCCAATACCCAGCTTCCCTGGTGCCCTGTTCAGGGGCACTTTCACACTGTCTGCCTTTTCAGCCCCTGCCTTTCATGTGAGCTTTGGCAGCCAAGGAGGACTCTGCTAGAGAGAATGGAGCGGATGTGTTCCCTATAGTCAAGGCAGATAAACCTGGGAGGTTATTTGTATTTGAATGCTTGCATCTATTTAAGTTTTGGTGCGTGAGATTTGAAGCTTAGTTAATTGCTTAGGTTTGACAAACTAGCTTTTGCCTAGAGAGGCTCATTTCCTTGGCTGGTTGCTGATGGCAGCAGATAGTATGGGGCATTAATGAACAGTCCCTGGCACGCTGTGAATGGGGTTTGCTGTCAAGCAAGTCAAAACTTCAGATGCCTAAAGATCAACCCATTAGTGATTAGGCCAGCGTCGGCTCTTGGCCTATTTTTAGGTTTTTCTTTGGTGCTTCACTCTTTGATGTAAAGACAGCTGTGTGCCCCTCACTCTTTATGCAGACCAAGCTTTTTATTTCAGGACCTAAACAAGCTATCCGTTGTTTTGATCACTCAGTAATCTTTCTCTGCAGCTTTCCTGTTTCAATTCTTGTTAATCGTAGTGACCACAAGTGAATGTGCTAATTCAGATGTGGCTCCAGTCCGTATTCAGTAGCTTAAATATTTTCAAATTTGAATGCAAATGTCTCGTCTGATAAGCATTTTATGTAGCCATCCAAGTATATGCAGTGGCTATGCCTTGCCTTGCTGGCTTGGAAAATGTTTCACTAGGCTTTTTGCTGCTTTTTATTTATGTGTGAGTCACGTACCTTGCCATGGCTGGTCACATTTTGTGTTTTGAAGAAACCAAACACAAATGCTTTGGGTATGGTTTACTTCTGAAAGTAAATTGTCCTGGTTTTTCTGCAAAAGTGTCTGAAAACCCCTGCAGTCTGCTCGGCTAAAGTTCTGCCAGAGGTCTGCCAGCTGGCTTTTTATCCCTTTCCACCTGCCTCTGATGTTTTCTTTCTCATCCTGCACTTCTCCCATCTCCTCCTAGTTTTTTGTTTCTTTTTTTTTTTAATTGCTGCTAAGGTTTTGGGACATTCTCAGATATCTTGGTTAAGAAATTACATTTAAACATTGCATTTAAATGAAATTATTCTTACTTCCTTTTTCCTGCTGCTGCATTTGTTAGCTGTTCAGGACCTACTTCCAAAGACAGGAACCACATTTTAAAGAAATTAGTTGTTACAGTGTTTAAATTTCTCATTTTCATACAGAACACTTGAAGAAACGCCTGGAAGATTATATGGCCCAGTTCCCAAATGTAAGAATCCTCCGAACCAAAAAGAGAGAAGGGCTGATAAGAACTCGGATGCTGGGAGCCTCGGTGGCCATTGGGGATGTCATCACCTTCTTGGATTCCCACTGCGAGGCCAACGTGAACTGGCTGCCTCCTCTGCTGGGTAAGGTGTGGGGCTGGACGTGGGTGAAGGCTGAACTGCTAAAGAGCTGACAGGAGGTGTTGGTGTTGAATTTGTTTTATTTCCCCCCCTTCTGCTTTCCCCTAATGCTCTAAGTGGCCACAAGGAAGATGAAATGTCTTAAAAGAGAGAACAAACAAACAAAAACCCCCAAACAAAAAAAACCCACCCAACCACAAGATTTAGGTGAATTGTTGGCAACTTGTAGTCTTTAGTACCAGAATTTTTTTTCTGTCCTGCACTGTACAATAACCCTATTGTAGGCTTTGCTTAATTAAAGAGCAGAGATCATATTCTTCTGTTTCCTCACTAAAAGAAACCTTAAATAATTTACAGCTTGCTAGATGAGCAAACTATTGCATGGCCATTCAGCAGCTTGCAGAGAGGACCGGCTTTATGATACAAAAAAGATCTTTGCATCCAGGTTGTAAGTAGCTTTTAGGGGTTTTTTGTCATACATAACTATATTTAACTTCATAGTCTGCAAGCCTGGGGAAAATACTTCTTGTGAATGACAGCTGCTGGTACGTATTTACAGAACATGTGCAGTCCTTTCTAAGACAGTTCTTCATCTTCAAGGAGGCGTCAGTTTTACAATGTCAGTTCTTCTCAAGGATGACTAATCGAAAGGACAGTGCCTTCTGTTGCTGGTACCTGCATGCCTCTGGCCACTACCAAGCTGCTTTCCAACCCTATTGCAAGTGACCTGTCAAAGCTCTCTCTGAGGTGTGACTTTGTCAAGTAAACCATGGCAACAATAGTCAAGTGGAGGTTTCAGAAAAACTAGTCAGATTTGTCAGCAGGACTGTTGGATGGTGCTGCTGTTGCTTTCACTACAGTTTCTATCTGGCGATAGTGTAAAACATTTGCAGCTTCATGAGCCCCAGGGAGGGAGGACGGAATTAGCTCAAATGCCATTTAAATGAGAACACGTAGAGTATGCTTTAATTTTAAAGCATAGAAAGGATTTCTGTTTGACGTGCATTGGAAGCTGAAACATCATTTGTCGCTCTGCTCTGAAAGTTAACTTCCAACAAGAGACCGTCTCAGTAATAAAGTATTTAAGAAGTTCCAGATGTTTATGCAGGAATTAATCCTGTCTTGTATTATTTGGTTGGGAAAAAAAAAAAGGTTGAGGGGAGGAGGTACACTTGCATTTCTTGAGCCTGCTGAGAGTAGTTATGCCATTAGTCTGAATCGCTTCCTGCCAGATTCTGGCGTAGCAATTAAAGGTAGGTGGTACGATGGGTTATTGCCCTGGCTGTGAATCACTGCAGGAAGGGTTCACATCTCGGTCACTTGTTAAAACGAGAAGTACAAGATTGTCTGTGTTCCGCCTCCGGTTTAGGTATCTGTGGTAGCGTGGCTGTGTCTTTCTGTTCTGCTTCTGGGTGATGGTCACTGTATCATGAGTGCCTGGTGGTTTTATCTCAATAGTTCTAGCTTGAATATCTCAATTATTGCAGAAATACCAGATAAATTGATATAAATTGGAGCGTTTGCCTGAAAGAGAACAAACGAGAAGGAATTGTTGTCGTTTCTTGGACAACTTCATATTTTGATGCTCTTTTCTGTAATTTCATGGTTAAAGGAACCAACTGGTGCAGGTTTTCTAACATGTTTCTCCAATCTTCAGATCGCATTGCCCGAAACCGCAAGACTATCGTTTGCCCTATGATCGATGTTATTGATCATGACCACTTTGGATATGAGACTCAGGCTGGAGACGCAATGCGAGGTGCATTTGACTGGGAGATGTATTACAAGAGGATCCCTATTCCTCCTGAGTTACAGAAACTTGATCCCAGTGATCCTTTTGAGTAAGTTACTGAAACGCCTTGTGCTAAGAGCTGGCTAATAAAATAACACCCTGTTACAGGGTTGGTTTAAACCTCAGTGTAGTAAAAGTCAGAAGCTGGTGTTAAGCTACTTGCTTTTTGGCAGCTGTTTGTTTTGTTGGTTTAAAAGAAATGCATTGTGTGGTAGCTGTGAACGTTCTCCTTTTCATTGCTATTTTTTGCCACCTTAATTCCCGCAGAAGTTAACATTTCATTTGAAACTGTAATGTGTAACATTTAATGTGGTCATTTATTACTGAGATCTTTCAAACATAACTTAGTATCCCTAATGCTCTGCCAAAAACAACAGACCAATGGCAGCTTATGTCATTCCCAGGTGTGGGGAGAAGAAAACCTAGCAGAATAATTACAGCAATTTTGATGATTGCAGTGCATTGCAGAAGTAAATCTGTGATCAAGTTATGTTCTGCTGCTGCTGTGCTTGCCAACACTGAGACACCTCTGCTGTCCTTTACACTCCTGCAGTGTTCAAAAAAAACCAACCCAACAAAACACCTTTTGAGGTCATGCTCAATGACTTGATCATTCTCCTGAGTCAAAGAGCACCGCTTGTGCAGCATATGGGTCCCTCTGGGAGAGATCCTGTCATTTAACGTGAACTCTCCTTTTGCCTTTTTGGAGAAGAGGCATTGACTGGTTCTGAAGGGAGCCCAGTCTGGTCCTCCTCATTTGCAAGTGGGAAATTAGTAGATAATGCAAAAGCAACTGTTTGATGCTCCCATAGGGCTGCAAAGGCACTGGGAACACTGGGTGGTGGAAAGAATATTTGTCAACTCTTGCTTTGTTTTTTAAATGTTTAGCTAGAGAACTGTATCTTTGAATGTGTTTGTAATATGGAGTCTGGTTTTTCCTTAAGGTCTCCTGTAATGGCTGGAGGACTGTTTGCAGTCGATAGAAAGTGGTTCTGGGAGCTGGGAGGGTATGATGCAGGTCTGGAGATATGGGGAGGAGAGCAGTATGAAATATCCTTTAAGGTGAGCTAATGTTCTCTGGAAATTCCTTTTGTTTTGAAAAGTAAGAATTGTTCTGAGGCGCAGAATGTGAATGATCTATCTTGTCCTTGCTTTTGCGTGTGACTGAAGGTGAAAGAGCTGGGAGTAGTAAGGCAGTACACAGAAGCAGCGATGATGCAAACTGGTTGCATTTGTGAGGGTCAATTTTGGATCACGATTAGCTGGGTTGTCCCCTGTTCTGTGGTCACAGCTTCAGATGCATGTGCTCTTCCCAGCAAGGGTAAGCCTGCTTGAGTAGAGCTCACTCTCACCATTAGGCTGCTTAGTGCTCACCCTGGCAAGAAGATGAAATACTCTCCTCCTTGAGGGAAGGAGGATTCAGGCACCTCAGTGTTTGCCCAGTTGAGTACCTCAGTTGAGTACCTCAGTGCTCAACTTGAGTTTCCAGAGACAGGAGTGACTTTCTGTCTGTACTCAGTCCATCTGACACCTGGCTGCAAGGAACAGAGACTTTTAATTACCCTGTAAAAAATCCTCAGCAATTGGAATAATCACATTGTTGCTGGCAGTAAGTTCAGGTCATTATCTGCCGGGCTTGGGGACAGTTGTTACTTACTGATTGACCAAGCTGTTCTGTTGAGGCCTTTAAAATGAGTTAGCTGGCTGACCAAAATTCCTATTAATAGCAACAAGTAACTGTGACCCACGAAGACCACTGGTACCTGTGTTGCCTTGGATTATGGCACTGAAATCCATTCTTGGAAACCCACTGGAATGTCCCAGACCACTGAAGGGGAGGTGGCTATTCTTCTCTTCAGTGGTGGAAGTCCTTTCCATAGCCTGGAGCGAATCGAGTAAAGATTTCTGTGTTAAACACTGAGTCACCATGTGGTTTCTCTTCCAGAGGTTGAATATAATAATCTCATAGGTGTCTGGATGCCACTGAACTAAGCTCATTGGCTTCACCACGAGGCTAGAAGATAGTAGCGATGCTTTGACAGCTAAAATTCCTCATCTGTCTTCCCAACAAAGTTATGACTGATCCCTCACAAAGCAGGTTCCTAGTTCTTGATGCCACTATGCAATGAAGAGGTGTACCAAACTAGATTCAGCGAGCTGAGTTACCATACATACATACTGATGCCACTATGCAATGAAGAGGTGTACCAAGCTAGATTCAGCGAGCCATGTTACTGTACATACATACTTACCGTGTACTACTGTGCAGCAAACAAGGCAAGAAATGGATTGTTTTCAATACAATGTATTTTCTTCCATTGCTTGCTTGCAGAAAAAACCTAAGTAATGAAGTCACATTGGACGTCCCTTGTCCTTTGTGATGATAGCAGGAAGGGAGGGCTGGGGAGCACCCACTTTGGAGATGTCTTTACAGTTCGAGCCATTTATCCTTTGTGTTGCATGTAATGAAGTTGTGTAACAATGTCATTCTCTGCAGGGGAGGGCGGTGGCAGAATTCGGCTTCTTTTCCTTGGCCCTTTTTGAAAATGCTGGTTTCCAAGAGTGATGACAGTGGCTGGGGAAGCCCTTTGTCTCCAATGCCACAGCGGAGAGTCACACTGCTTGATCTGCAGGAAATAAGACTACTTCATTCATCTGTTTGCTTATCCTCTCTGAAACACACTGTGTTTTATTTCAGTCCAGAGACGGTAATTTATGGAGGGATAAATTTGCTTTAATTAATCTCTGCAAAGACCCCCTTTTTTTCTTTCATTGTGCAACAGAAAAATGAAGTTTTGACTGAAAGAGGCTCAGTGTATTTTCAGAAATTAAGATAAATTGATACATTCATCTGTGGCTGATAGATTTAATAATTCTGCTGGAATTGCAAGAATAGAAGGTTTGTTCATAGAATTTATGAAGCTATGACATTTCCTGGCGAGCTTAGAGCCATGTTTTTACCTTTAGAAGCAGACTGAGATTTTGTAGTTAAAGGGGCACTGTCAAATAATTTAAAGCTCTGGGTTTAGGCATGGGGTACCTGCTTTCACATTATTTATTATCTAATGGGAATTCAGATTGTAAGTGTGCCAAATTTACAGCCCGGCTTTAACAAAGAGTCCATTCCTGTGCCTGGGAGTTATGGGTGCAGGTACTCTTTAGTACTGCTGGTCTTTGATCCATTGCATCAGATCTGGCCTTCCCAGGCCCCACCAGAAGTAGATTGTTTTTTTCCTTAAGCATATTCTTTTTTGGCCATGTATGGACTGTGCTTTACAGTTTTTTTGCCTTTATTTTAAAATCCAGAGCTCTGTTGCTGAGAGACTAGAAATAAACAAGTTTATTTAGGAGCCTCTTCTCTTTCTGTTTTGAGATCATACGTATTTCTGTCATCAGCTGGCTCAGCTTCCTTCTGAGAAGAAGCTTTCAGGCTGAAAGCAAGCCAACAGAGGAACTATCAGTGCTGAGCACCTCAAAAAACATTTAGCTGGAGGGGTGGATCAAACTCTGCTAATAGAAGCCTTACTCCTTGTACAAAATGTGTACACCGAACATCACTAGAAAATGTAGCATGCTGGGGGGGACACAAAAATAAATTAGGTGAATTTTAAGTTAGGAACAAATTTTCTAACTGCTGGTTTGTAGTTTCCTGGGTCTTCTCAATCCCTTAAACCAGAAATTTTTGAATGAGAAATGAAGGACTCAGTCTATCCGTTCCATATTCAAGAAAATACGCTCTTCTTCCTTCTCTTGACCTGAGTGTATCCAGAGTAGCTCAGTGCCGTAACCCAGCACTGCTACAGGTCAGGGCTCTCCCTATTTCAGGTCATCATCAGATGCAACAGGAAGATTGCAGTCTTGAATTTTCGTTGCAGGCGTTACACTTATTCAAATGAGCCTTGTTTTCTCATGAACGCTGCGTGCAGAAGGCTCCAGGCAAACTGCTCTGCAGATCTGCCTGGTGTAAGAACCCATCTCCTCCATCCCAGGGGATCACCAGGTGCTGACCTTTGAGTTCATTCCTGTATTTTGGAGAATGGAGAAACCAGCACACACAGCTATTTCTGTGCAGCGCTTGTTACCTTTCCTTTCTGCTGCCCCTAGCTCTACAGCCGTGGTTTCTCTGCTCAGTGGCCAGCATTGAGGGGCTTTTCTTTTGCTTTTTGGGAGTCACTTCCATACCTCTCCTCACTTACAGGTTTTCCTGGTCTTTTGTATCTCTCTGCAGTGATTTGAACAAAATTGAATACTTTACCCAAAGTGACAATGTGTCTTTCCTGTTCTAAACACAGCTTAATAGCTCCGATTTTCTGAATACTCCTGCATACTCAACAAATACCTACATTCTGCTGCCTGTGTAACCACTTCATTTTCTTTGAGATTAATGTACTTAATTCGACATGGTACATATGGAGCATTTAAACTTTCCTTTCTGCAAATGCGACTTTGTACAGCACTTAACTATGCTCAGTTTTATTTGTGATCACGTTGCCTCTTTTCCAATATTTTTGTGGCTTCTGTTCTGTTTGGTTTATGTTATCTTCACTGAACTGCTTCACACCTCTCCTCCGTGAATACATTGTCTCTGATTTTTTGGGTATGAGGAAACAGAAGAGGAAAAAGTGACTTGTCTAGGCATAAATATAGATGTACTTTGTACCTTCGACCTTGATTGCTCTCAATCCTTTAACTGTACGTTGTACTTTAAGAGCAAAGAATGAGAATCTGGAATGTCACTTGTGACATGATAGATCGGTTCAGTTTCAGAAAAGTTTGTTTTGCAATTTAGAGATGTTAAAGCCTTCATAAAATTCAGTGGGCTTGGTGCAAACAAGCCATATCAACAGTTGCCCTGAAAAGAACAATTAAGGGGGAGGCAAAAGTGATGGGCAGTACTCGGGGTCTTCCCTCCTCTCTTCAGCAATAGGAAACATCCTCTGTGCTTACTCTGGTGGTTGTAGATCACTGTGTTTTTCCACATCCTTTTCCCAAAGCATCAAGAGGGATTCCTTCTCCTGATTTCCATGGCATAAAACGTGTTGCATGTTTTCCAACAAATCCAAGTGTTCCGTAGCTTCTGTTGGCATATCTAATGCATGCATCTCCTTTGCCCCATGGCAGCAGCACATTTGTGACTCACATTTGGCCACTGGCCTCCTGGCAGGTGCGTAGTTGGGGGGCAGCTGCCAAGGGATCACTTCTGACAGCATTTCCAGTTGTGTCGCTGGAGTCAGTGCTGATTGTGAGCCTCTGCTGCTTATTCCAGGCACATACTCACACCACTTTCCAGCAGCTCACGTTTGCCCACACTGAAACAGGCCGGGCATTCTGCTGCTTTTTTTTGTGTGTTTTTTTTTTTAAAGCCATCACATGCTGCTTAATTCTATGTCTCTCAGCTGCAGTAGAGGGTGGCTTTTTCTCCCTTCCTATCTGGTGATGCAGAGATTGGTTTCAGACGATTAACTTGAATTTTTGGCCTCTGTTCACTCTCTGTGCTTGGTTTGGGCTCCAGAGTAACCTCCCACCAAGCAGCAGCAGGAAAGTGGACCCCTCCACTCTCTGAAATGTGAATATTGGACAGTGCTATCATTACTTTAAAATGCTCCAGACGGTAAGGAGGGGCCGTGCTGGTGTATGTTGCGTGAGAGAGGGCACTGTGCAAACACAGAGATCCCAGTGCCTTTTGAGTTACCTCAATCTTTTATAAAGCAGCAGGTCCCAGCTGCAACAGCAGCTGATGTTTACAATACAGAGGATTATGATTTTCCTGAATTATTGGTTGCCCTTGCTTTAATCTTCTCACCTACCTTGTTATGCAGAGAACCCCCTGGACTTATGCACAGTGTCCTTTTCTTCCCACCTTTGAGTGTGTGCTCAGACAACGAGCCAGCTTCTCTCCACTGGTCCATCCCATGGTCATTATTTCTGGCATGGCTTGCAGAAGCAGCTTTCTTTTCAAGGCTTGGCTCTTTGCTTTGTGGGTTTTTTTCCCCTCTCTTGGGAAGCACTGACTCATCATGGTGCAGTCTTTGGAAATCATAAACCTTGTATACCCAGATAATTTGTGTTCGCACACCAACTGCAGTATTGTCCTGTGTGGTTGAGAAAGGTTCAGCTGTCTGATGTGACATTGTTTTCTGCAATAGCAGGAAGGGAATTGGATCAGCATAACGTTCCCATGTAGAGAATAGGTAGCATATTATCTTGTGCTTTCATAGCAGACTAGGTGAGTCAAAGGCTCTCGAGTCGCTTTATGAATATGGAGTTACAGCTCTCCAGGCCACTGAGAAGATGGAAGTAATATCACCGGTGTTGTTATTTTACTTCCCTTGTATGTGGTTTTATTATTAGAGTGAGATTGTGGCCTTAGAAAAATCTGTTGCAGTGTGCCCATTGACCTCAGCATAGCCAGGTTTTCTCTTAATTCTAGCAGGTCTGTCAGCTGCTAGAGTCCTAGCTCAAAATGTAGATTGGTAAAAATGTGCCCGAGGAGGAAGAGAAATTTCCTGTTCTCTCCTAATGAGATCTGATTAGATCATTGTATAAAGCACTGCCTGCCTGACCAGCTTTAATTCTCGTTCTTACGGCATTCTAGTAAAGGGCTGATTGAAATTAAGTGCGTCAAGTTCAGGCTCTGATGTTTATTGTCATGTCAGCCAGGGAGATGAGGCACCATCTCGCCCTTCCGTAAAGCAACAGGAAGAAGAAACTGGTTATTCTGGCCTAAGGAGAACACAGTAAGTGACAGTCAGTGCTATGGGAAGGCACAAGGTGCTGCCCCACGGAACAGCGCTGTTTCAGCTGTTTGAAGGCGCTGTATTTTTAGCAGTGTAAGTTCTGGTGTGTCGTGGCTATGAACTGTAATCTTGTTTAAAAACAACCAGCTATCGCTGAGTGACAGCCTTCCCTCAGCTAGTACAGAGCTATTTTGGGTTTGCTTCACTTGCAGTTATTCCTTGACAGACCCTTGGATGTGATTTCCTTGACCTTTAGCTCCAGCTTTCTCATGCTTTTGTTAGCTGTGTTTTACCAATGCACATCACGCTCTTTCCCTCTCCCCCTTCTACCAGTTTTATAGATAAGGACTGGTAATTGTCTTTATGGAGGTTGTAATGAGTTCTGTCACCACACAAAGAAGCTCACTAATAAAATAAATCAAAGCAGCAATGAATGAATGGGAAGCATGCTTTTAAAATTAGATTTGTACTGCAAGTGCCATACTGTCACTTGCAGCATGAGGCAATGTTAAAAAGGCACTGACTTGGCAAAGTACCTTGAAAGGGTCACTGAGCTCTGCTAGTAGGAATTGGGAAGCTTTCCGTTACCTCCATGCAGCACTGGTAGTTTCAGCATCATTTGGGAGTAAATATTTTAAAGCATGATTAGGACAAAAGCACGTGAAACTGATCTTAGATTTTACTTGTTCAGTTAACTCAGTTACATAGCTTTTCTTATCGTATCATTACATGTGTTCATGTAATATCATCTTCTGTGCCTGGAGTCTTGTACCAGCTTGGAGCTCTTGGCCCAACATATTGTCAGCTCTGTCTGCCTTCCCATAGCCCCTGCTTCTCCCTGTGCCACTCATTGGATAAGTGCTGTCTCTATTATTGCTGCACAAGATCTGCAGTGCAAGGACAGCGCTCTCCTCTCCAGCTGCCTATTGTCTGCCCGGCTCTATTTCTCACACATTACTTCAGGAAGTCGTGTTTTCAGGAGTTGTGTGTATTCTCAGTGGCCTGATTGAAAGCCTTTCCTTAGAGATCAGGGGCAAGTGAGGCATCCTGTGGGCAGGCAGCAAGGAGAACAAGCTGGTGTTTTCATTCAGGCTTGTGTTGCACTAAAATGGAGCTGCTTGCGAGCCAATAGGGCTTTCATGATGCAGGGTGCAGCGCACAGGGTAAGGATGCGGGTTGGTGAGTGTGGGTACCTGTGCAACTGAGCCTTCTTCAGCTCTTCCTGCAGGTTTTTATAGTTCCCAGATCTGTTGCAGCTCCTACAGTATTACACAAACCATTTACAGAAACACAAAACATCCCCAAATTCTTGTTTTCTCAGTCTACCCGTTAATTTCCTAGCAGAGAAATCACACTGTGGCCCTCTGCAGCAAAAAGTACAGCAACTACAGAATAAAAAACATTTCTAATTCCACTAGAAACTTCACAGAAGCTGAGTGCTGGTTTCGTTTTTCATCTTCATCTCTTCTGTACCAGCCTCTCAAGACGCAGCAGGGACAAAAGAAATGAAATTCTGTAGAAAGAGTGTTTGTCAACTTTCTTCTTGTCTCTCTCGCCATAATGACATGTAATTAAGTACCTTGAACTTTAGAAGTTGCCTGTGAAAAAATATTCCTCTAACTGAGAGCAACCATCCTCCATTAAGTTATACTCAGTCAGCAAATGACTGTAATTATTAGGGCCAGTAGACAGAGCTGAAACTCAGAGGACTTTAGTGTCAGAGCTAATAATTATGCAGCAGCCTTGGCCAAATATTTCTCTTCCAAGCTAAGTATTTAATATTGTCACTGTAGAATATTAATGGAATTGCCTGCTATGTGTGAAGCTGTTGACTAAGCTCATTGTACAGTGAACTGCGGTGGCTCAAATTAGGCACAGTGAGATCAAGAGCACTGCACCAGCCTGCAGCACCAGCGGACCTTCTGAAATATTGCTGCCTTCGGGGCATTAGCATAAGATCTGGGGACAAAATGAAGGGCAAGACAGTGTCGTGCTTGGAGAATTCAGAAAGTCATTTGTCTTGCATTACCGAAGGATACTTTTTTCTTTAAGTATTGATTAGATATCTCTGGAAAGCACATATGAATATATTCCTTAAGCCTAATGAGGTAGATTGCCTGGTTCAGAAAACGTCTCCTTTGGTTTCCACTTGGACAAAATTATTACATCCATGCTATAAATACTCAATGAAAGAAAGTTATTGCAGAATGTTGGCACAGAGTGAAATCTTCCCAGATGGGAAAAGAAACTTCTGGACCTAATATAAATGTTAACCAAGCGTCAAGGTAGTCTTCTTCAACTAGCAGTGTGTTCCAGTGACTTCCTGAGGGCTTTTTTTTTAGAGCTAATTATGTTTTCACCAGGCAGGGTTTTCTACTTAATTGTAAGGCTGCAAAAGCAATGAGTGCATATCAGCAATGAAACCATACGAGAGCAGTGATAACCACAGGGAAAAGTAGCAGTTTCTTCTGATTTCTGGCACTTGAACAGGCTCATGAATTCCCTGGAGTGTTTTGCTGAGTACGTGACCTGTACTACAGAGATGGCTTCCCCTTTTACAGCAACCTTACCCAACCTGCGCCCAGGTCTTACATGGCAGTTCAGTTTAACTATTGTTACTGTTGCTGTAAGAACGGACATTGATTTAAAGTGTGCTGTTCTCTGGGGGCTTGGAATTAATTTTTTTTTCCTGTTCTTTTCTCTAAGTAATGCAAAATTGAACTGTTGAGCCATTGGGCTTGATAGCACTTGTACTAAATCAAGGCTCGCTGCATGGCTCTAAGCAGGTAGTTATAGGATTTGAGACCAAGGCAAGGAGGGCAGGGTATTTGGGAGAGAGTGTGCTTCAAAGTAAAAAATCTGGGTTAAGTTTTTTCGTGACTTGAAAGTCTGTCTTTTTTTTCTTCTTCATCTTTCTCTGTATAACCAAGAGTGAATCTGTTTCTCTGCTGTTCCCCAGGTATGGATGTGTGGGGGTCGCATGGAGGACATCCCTTGCTCTAGAGTTGGTCATATCTACAGAAAATATGTTCCGTACAAGGTTCCAACAGGAGTCAGCCTGGCAAGAGTAAGTGGCAGTGGTGTTCCCCACGACAGATGTTTGACTGCAATGTGACCATGCTGTTGTCTCCTCTCAGCCCACAATGGGAGGCAAATGTAGGCTTTGTGGTCCATAAATTGTATTTGTACAGTGGTCAAATTGAGCAGTTTTGCAACGGTGGATGCGTAGCACAAGGGGAAGAGAGCCTAGGGGAGCTGCAGACTCATGTGTGGGCAGCTGCCATGCTCCAGGCATCAGCCATTGCCTGGTGTTGGGAAGGGACTTTGCAATCAGGCGTTGGCTATGGGATCACCAATAAAAACAAGATACGGCTTTAATTGTGTAATACTTCAGTCATTTTATAACTGTGCTTTCCAAGAGCAGAAGGCTTCAGCATGGTGATTGTGTTTTGGTGATTGAAAGACCTCTCGACTTCAAGCATCACAGACCACTGAATAGGCAAGCTGTAATTTTCCACGATGGAACCTTCTGTGCCATCTTATTTCTTAATCTAGTCTAACCCAAAGAGGAAAGAGTTTCATGCCTATCATGCACCAGCTTTCTCCAGTTAATTTCCAAATTGTGAAGGGATCGCATTGCCCTCTGGTGGGAGAAAAAAATCATAGGAGCAGGAAGGCTGCTGAATCAAACAACACAAAAAGGTACCCTGCTGTTCTGCAGTCTTATGGCTTGCACAGTGTTAAAATGTTTCCCAGTTTAATAGCATCACCCTAGTTACAGATTGGGATTTATTACTCAGCCCAGCAATGACCTGTCAGAGCGATAGAGTGCTCTCCTGTCTGTGCCATCTCTTCAGGAAGGAGCTATATTTCTTTTGATTCAGTATTTGGCTCTTGCACGCTCCCACAGTGCTGGAAGGAGACGGCACACAGGTGTAGGAAAGGCTGTTTCTTGGCATCTAAGATCGTACAGTCACCTTGAGATGAGCACCTGCTCTTGTTGTGTATAGGCTGCATTTGGGGCAGGGCCAGCACACTGCTTGTTCTTAACACCCTAATTTATTTGGGAGTAAATGACCTCTGCTGGCCTGACCACCTTCACGCCAGGTGGGCAGTGCTGCTGGGTCACTGAAGTCATGACCACACATGGCACGTTACTGTGTGGCACCAAGAATGTACCTGGTGCTGCCAGAGAAGAGTCCAAGGTCCAACGGTCTCTTGAGTGTGTTGGGACAAGCAGCAGGGCGGGTACCCCAAGAGGGTGGTGTTCATTGCTGTCTTGGAATTGCACAGTGGATTAAGCTTTACAGTGATACGGGAAAAATACTTCTGCCGGGAGGTAAACCTTTTGCTTCTTTTCTGAAGGGTCATCACCTGAAAGTTCCGTGTTCCTGCAGTATCTCAGAGTTCCTTTTAAGCAGCTTTTTACCCAAGAAAATGGAAAAATAGTGGTAAAAACGAACATTGTGAACTAAGCTTTCCAGAGGAGAGTACTGCAAATCCCATTCCTAGATGGATATAAAAGATGCAATAAGAAGGATTTAAGAAAGCAGCTTTTTCTCAGGGACCTTTGAATGTCCAGTGGTATTTACCAGCATCACTTTCTGACTAGCTTCTTTACAGAAAAAGAGGAAAAAAAAGCCCCAACTTTTGATTAATGTTGTTTTTCTTAGCCACAAAGAGCTAGATATAATGGCCAAGTGCCAGGATTCTGTTTTGACCTCAACTGAAAATATCTTTCTAAAAGTCCCTTGGAACTAGAGAATAATAAAAATAATCTTCATCCTGAAGCTGGAGAGAAAGAGTGGATGTGAATGAAAATCCCTTCCGAGCAAAAACATGAGAGCTGTTCTGAATGCTAATGTCAGTGGTTTGTGCAGTGTTCTGGGGTGTTTTTTTCCCCTCTCATTTTCACACGTGGCTGTTACCCACACAGAACCTGAAGCGAGTGGCTGAGGTGTGGATGGATGAATACGCAGAGTACATTTACCAGCGCAGACCGGAGTACCGGCATCTCTCTGCAGGGGACGTCGCCGCTCAGAAGGAACTTCGCAACAACCTCAACTGCAAAAGCTTCAAGTGGTTCATGAACGAGGTCGCGTGGGACTTGCCAAAGTTCTACCCACCAGTGGAACCTCCGGCAGCTGCCTGGGGAGAGGCAAGTTTGTGCTCTGAAACCTGCAGTGGGCAAACAGGCTGCTGTTTGGTTTGTTAGAGCTGCCTTAGCCACGTGCTCCGGCACCGGTTTGCTGTGAGTAAGGTGGCAAGAAAGCATTTAAAGATCCTGCTTGATACATTTCAAAGACCAGAACTCCTCTACCATTATATTGGCCTGATCAAAGAAGGCAATTAGGCAGCTGTTTCTATTAGTGCACATCTACAGAGAGAATAGGGACTTGGCTTGTTCTGCATGTTGTATATTTAGTAGAAGGCAGAACATGCCAGCAGGGAGGGCTAGGGAGAGGCGGCAGCTGAGCAATAGCAGAAATGTTGTATTTCTAAAGGACTAGGCAACTGTGTGGAGCTACTCTGCTCCTTAGCTTTCCCATCTGAGAGCCAGGAAAACCACCCCTGTTTTTGCAAGTCAGCTGTGTTCTGGGAAAAGAATCACCCCAGGAGTGAAGTCGTGGATTGTTACACACAACACCACAGTGGGCTCTGCAGTGCTGTAGCTAATGGGCTTTGCTGTGTCCTTGCTGTGAGGTTATTGTACAGCTGGTGATGGGGCTCACTTGGAGTTCCTGTGCTTTCTTCTAGCTGTTATCTGCCAGCTCAGATACATAGTTAAGTGAGGAGTCTCAAAGCTTGTCTTCATACAAATACTGCCACTACTTGAGGCAATTTAAACCTTCTTTCCTGTCACTTGGTAAGAATAGGAGACTCAGTGACTAATTTGCTATTTCAGATACGCAACGTAGGAACCGGACTGTGTGTGGATACCAAGCACGGAGCCCTGGGATCCCCACTGAGGCTGGAAAACTGTGTGAAGGACAGAGGAGAGACAGCATGGAACAACGTGCAGGTAACAGTCCCTCTGATAAATCATGGACCCCTAGATACATTTGGGGAGGGAGAGGTTATAAGAACAAATGTTTGAGAAGGAAGGCCATTGCAGAACTCTGTCAGGTGAACAGAGGGTGCTGTGCACCCCAAGGCTCGTGTACTAATTATTTTTGATGGGCTTGTAGCAGGATGTGGCTTGTGCTTGTGGCAGGGTCTGGAGCCTGGCAGACTTTGTGCAGAGCTTTTACTTCTGCTTTGAAGTTCTCAGAGTGAACAAAAGAAAGCACAAGAAAACAATATGACAAAATAATAAAAGAAACCAGTAACAAGGCAGCTGTAATATGTAACAAAGTGAATATTAACTTCAAAGGTTGTGCTGAAAGAAGTGATAGAGGAGGATCATGCATATTAATGAACCTGCAGGAGCATTCAATAACCGCTTACTATCATCCTTCTGACAGGAGGCAAATGCATTATAAACACCCAACCATTGCTGGAGAGAGATGAAACCGTCCAGGCTATAGATTCACCCTCTCAACATATAAGGTGCCAGAAACGACAGCTTTATTGTAACAGAAGGGAAGGAAATATTAGTTTGTCTAAACTGTAGCAGCTGAGCTGAGAAAAGATCAAGAAAACAATGCCTCTATTACAGAGCCATGCATAACTCTTCAGGGGAATGGCTTCAGTAGTAGGAGTTGGAGGGTTGTTGCATATCAATTTTGATGTATGAAAACTGGAAGCGAAACCAATTTAATCAGGCACAGTCCAAAGCTAAGCTTCTGTTGTGTCAGGAGAATCTTGAACAATTAGTATTGGCTTATGTTTAGGGAGAGAATGTGGTTTGAACTTCTGTGTAGCATCGAGCCCAAATGATTGTGGTAATTTCTCTCCCAAGAGAGATTTAAAAGAGAGAATGAACCAAAATAGCTTCCTTGTGCAAAAGTTTTTGGGCATGCCGCTTCAAATAGTAGCACCCTGCTCATTACTTGTCTGTCTTACTGCCTTGTGAGATCTCTCTGAAGGGAGGACCATTCCTCCACCTGGTTCCAAAAGGAGCCCCCAGAACGGCCCTTCCCCTTGAGCACTGAGACAGGGGTGAGCTGCCTAGTAGCCTTGTAGAATCATGTTGGCTAGTGCTGGTCACAGAGGACACTTGCACCCTTGCCAGAGGTGCTGTCCTTGTTAAAGCAGAAAGCAAAAGCTTCACAGTGGGGCCTGCATTTCAACAAGTTTCTCTTTTGTGAGATTCAGTCCTACAATGCTTAAAACATGTCATAAGTCAAGCCATGATTGTCAGAAGGAAGATGCAGTTTGACCACACTACTGGCTCAAGCCGTGGCCAAACGCAAATGCCACAGGGGCAGTGCAAGGAGCAGGGCATACACATGGTGGTCCTTCCATGCTGTCCTTGTTAAAGCAGAAAGCAAAAGCTCCACAGTGGGGCCTGCATTTCAACAAGTTTCTCTTTTGTGAGATTCAGTCCTACAATGCTTAAAACATGTCATAAGTCAAGCCATGATTGTCAGAAGGAAGATGCAGTTTGACCACACTACTGGCTCAAGCTGTGGCCAAACGCAAATGCCACAGGGGCAGTGCAAGGAGCAGAGCATACAGGTGGTGGTACTTTCACCAGTTGTTCTCCTGTGTCCCCTCCCTGTGGCTCAGGGATTTCTAGGCCACACGTGCTGGCATCCAGCAACTTTCATGGAGGCCCCAGCCCTGCCAGGCATTGCCACACTGTGCCGAGTTACTAGAGCTAAAAGCCTTTCTCTTCTTTTCTGTAGTGTCCCTCCTTCCACTTCACCTGAAAGTGCTGAGAGATCATTGCAGGGTCAGTAGAAGAGAGCACCAAGGAAGTATTGCCCTAGTGATCTCCCTTCTGACACTCCTGTGGAGTGGGGTGGGGAGTTGGGGGCTTCCTGGTCCCTTGTCACAGAAGGTGTGGGACAGACTCTTCTCAAGGTGACTGCAGGCTGCCTGTGCAGACGCGGGTGTTTACAGACGGCTTTAATTCGGAGCTCCTCGAGCTCTCTGCCGTTTCTGCTAGCTGTGAAGTGCTGTAATTGGTCAGCTGCTCACTTAATCCATGATGTATGTCTGCATTGCAGAGACATTTGAGGCTGCTATTAGTACCCAAGCTAACGAGCATGGCTGGTTGCAGCAGCACATTTAGCATGCTGCGTGGCAGGCCGGGGGGTAGCTCCTACAGACTCCCCTCATCAGCAGTCCCTGTCCCCAGAGGTGGAAATAGTCTTTCTCTAGAAGATTTCATCTTTTCCCTGGAGCCATCCCCACCCTGTGGGCAAAGAAGGGAATGTAGTGCTGCTGGTGAAAGTGCTGTACCTGGTACCAGCCACCCTGAGGGTCCTGGTTGTCCCGGCAGGTATTCACCTTCAGCTGGAGAGAAGACATCCGTCCTGGGGATCCTCAGCACACCAAGAAGTTTTGTTTTGATGCCATTTCCCACAACAGCCCTGTCACCCTCTATGATTGTCATGGAATGAAGGGGAACCAGCTCTGGAGATACCGGAAAGTGAGTATGTGTGTGTGCAAGTGCATATTCTCATTTAAGGTGTCAATTGCCTGCAGGCACTTTAGTTTTCTTTAAATGTCACCACTCATGTTTTATTCCTTCTCTTTATGTAGCTGTGATAAGAGAATCCACAGAGAGCCTGTTGTCATTGTGCCATTAATTACCCTCTATTAGAAAGAGGTGACTCCCCTGTTCCACTGGTTAGGAATGGTGAGGACTGCTTCTCCAGGGCTTGCTGAGTCTCCTTGCAGTCCTGTCCACGGCTGGCAGTGAGGTGACGCAACACCCTTGCAAAACCTGTTTGCAAAGAGGTGTGCTGGGTTTGTTGGTTTGATCTGAATACTGGAAGATTGTGCCAAAAGTAGATAAGGATTTATTCAGTCCTTATTTGTTCCTTCTGCTAAGCAATGCTTTTGTGACCAACAGGTAAGTAAATTCTTGACTCAGTGCCCTATCCGAGTCCTTGCCATCTCCCTGCAGCGTGCCAGAGTGACTGCAGCAGGGTGAGAGGGGACCTGCCTTCAGATACAGCTTTAGAACTTCCCAGTGCAGACATGAGGATGGGGCCAGATGCTGAGGGGTGGGAATGGACCTTGACATTTGCCAACTAGTTAAGCATGGAACAACTTCTTCAGATACATCAAGTGATGAAATAGCTTGCCTTGGGTTTTAAGACTTCCTTCTGTTGGTTTTAAACCAGGTTTGCCTCTCTGCTTAGCAACCTCACATCAAATTTCTCTTCCCCAGGACAAGACTCTCTACCATCCAGTAAGCAGCAGCTGTATGGACTGCAGTGAGAGTGACCGAAAGATCTTTATGAATAGCTGCAACCCTTCATCTCCAACACAGCAGTGGATATTTGAACATACAAACTCAACCGTCTTGGAAAAATTTAACAGAAATCTTGATCTTTAAAAGACTGAGAAATATATATATATTTTACAATTATAGTTTTTACTGGGGAGGGTTACAAAAAATTTTTTTAAGAATACTTTTTTTTAAACAGTTAATGAAGGTAAAAGGGAGAATCTTAGGAGAAGGTTAACTAGCAGGCCAGTCTTTATTGCAAAGATGCTGCATCCTTCTCTTCTGGGGATGGTGGAATTTTAAAGGCTTTGCCAGAGCCACTTCTGTGCTGAGACTGAACAGAAACTCTGTTTTTAGAGGAGTCTGAATGTGATTCAAACTGCTTTGTTTTGGTTTGGTTCGGTTTTGCCTTTTTTTTTGTTTTGTTACATTTCCCACCTGGGTCTGGTGTTAAATGATTTTGTTATCCGGGACCCTCCAGGACTTTTTGTAGCTGCTAAACTACTCGCTGAAGCATTCCCATGTAGGTGCTTTATTTTCCAAAGTCCATCTAAGCAAAATCTTGAACACAAGATTTAATCCTCTGACCATCATAGACATGAAAAAAAAAAAGGGCCATCAAAACGTAAGATGAAATTACTATTTTTTTTGCCCTAAACCAAAATATATTTCAAACAGGTTGAGTGTTATTACTTTCCAAATCATAGCTCTGATAAAGGAATGAGCTGTAGTAGAAGTGCAGCCAAGTGTTGGGAAGATTGCTGCAGTTATTAATGATGAGGAATCTGGGTTTCTGGTCCATTCACTTTGCAGTCAGTTTGTCACTCACTGTTGAATCTTCAAGGTGAAAGATGAGCAGAGGGTTTTTCAAGTAAGCACAGTTCTTACAGGTGTCGATTTTTGCTAAGAGCCTTTGGGTATCATGTTCCACATTTCCCTCTCATTCAGAGTCTTTTTAGTACAGATACGTCTAGGGTTTCTCAGAGTTAAATCTACTACATGAAGGCAACTTCCATTTTTCCTTTAGAGGTTTGAAAGCTAACTTAATTCGCAGTTGGTGTGAGCAGATTAATTCAGGATAATTAAGTCAGGGCTGCGATGAGCCATTGGTCTTTATCCATTTGTCCTTTAGTCTGTAGTTTGTTGCAGTCATGAGGTCTGTAGTGAGTGGTGTTCCAGCCTTGTGGGAAGATGCCATTAGTCTCTCCTCCCTTCCCCACATCCACAGCACTGTATGCTTTACTGTGACTGGAAATCTGTTTGCTTAAGCAGAGATGTGGGATTGATGGGCCCATTTCACTAACACCCTGTCCCTTGTTAAGTCCCTTAGCAGTGCAAGGTGTTACCCTTCTGGTTTGATGCAGGATCTGCCAGACACTGAAAGGGAATTGTCTCATCCCGGGAGCTGGAAAAAAGTACTGACTCTAAAGGATGAATGGAGGACCGTTGGTTTCAAGTCTATCTGAACTGAGTGTTTAAAAAAAACCCCACACTGGTTAAAAATTAAGTCGTTGCAAAAAACCATATAATTCAGCCCATTTAGTCTTATACTGAAGGCAGCAGTGGCATTTTCTAGTAAAAGCTGTGAATGACAGTGCAGTTAACCTTTTGCAAAGATGCTGCATAAATCAATAAAACTAGCCCTTTTCCAGTAATTGCCCAGCTCTGCAGTTTGCCCAGCTGAGGAGGAGGTGTGCAGCCAGCTCGGAGAGGGAAAGGCTGCGACGCTCGGGGTAGGAATGGGACACCCCTCTGGGACTCTGGATAAGCAGGGTTAATGGACTTGCCCTCCTTGGAGGGGCAGGGAGGCTCTGCTCTGGGGTATCTTTCTCTCCTGTGAAGGCAAGGTTTTTTCCTAGAATCAAGAAAGAAGCAGGCTGGCTCCCTCTGCAGACCTGCAGGAGTAAGAAGCCCTTTCTGATGTTGCCAGCTGTAGAATCACTGCCCACGTTTCGGGTGTCTTTGAGGCCTTGCAGTGCTGTGTCTGAACTGGGAGCAGACTAGGACTCAACTGGCTGCCTCCCAAGCTCTCAAGACTGAGTATTGACTGTGAGGCTCACAATCATTTCCACCTCTCTCATTCTCACAGCTGAGGCCACATCTGACCCGTTCTGCCAACTTACCAGGCCCGTGCAGTCACAAAGCAAGGGAAACAGGGGTGCTGGATTGCAGCTGGGACCAGGCTCCCCAAATGTTTTGGTGTCTAACATTTTGGGAGTGAAGGAAAAAAAAAAATAAAGCTCTAGGCTTTCCTTGTGGCAGTTTTGCAGCAGCACCGCTATGGAAATGAGACCAGTGTCAGAGTTGACATCTTATGTTCTCAGTAACTACAATATGTCTGTCATGAGGATTCCTTTCTCATTTCGATGGGAGACAGAGCCACTTGCCAGTGCTTCGTGTCTGACTGTTGCTTTCCTTAAGTTATTAATGCTCTCGTTAGTCTAGTAGTGCTGACTGTGGATCGCTAGATGGCCTGACTACATGTCTTTATGAATGTTTTAATACCTGTGGAACAAGAAGCTGTTCATGAACAGTGCTCATTTTTTTTTATAATCGGGACACAATCAGCAAATTATATAAATGGACTGTAGGTCATTCTGCTTGCAGCTTGCAATTTTGTGTGTCTTAGTTTTCTAGCGAGAGGATTAGCTTCTGTTTCTAAAATGCATGGCTTGCTTTGTGCTTGGGCTCACCTTGTGAGGGGAGTCCTAGCTGCTTGGCTTGCTAAACGCTTGCTTCAGAGAGAACTGCAGTAATGAACAGGTCTTTTACCACTTAATGATCTTAATTTGGAGAGAAAGGAGAGCTCTTAGCAGTATGCACCAAAAGATTAGGTAATTGTTGAGGTAATTCCTGTTTGAACCGACCACCAGTACATGGAAACTGGAGCTTTAGTGCGAGTGGTCCTACTGGGTCCTTCTCAGTATGATTGATCTGATCTGTTTTCTGAAGGTTTGGGATTTGAGTGTGATAAGTGCCCCACAAATTCTGTACACTTCTGACTGGCTCGCTGGGCTTTGAGCTATTAATTTATTTACATCAATTATACTTTTCAATACCCTAGAGGCTTTGCTGACTAATGAGAAGTCTTAATATAGCCAACCATCCACTGATTGAGAAATAGAAGCTGTATTTCATCACCTACATCTTTAATTGAGCCTTTGCTGGGCAATCTGGTTAATTATTCCAATTACTTTTGGTTATTTGTAAGCAAAATTGCTAAAGCATGAATACATAAGCAAATCTTCACATCTGCATGCAAGTCAAGACTGGAGATTAAATACCAGTGATTATCTAATGCAAAATAAATGTTTTCATATTTTTTCCCCCCAAATATTCAAACAACCCTTCTCTCTGAGGCTGCATAAGTTCTGCTGCTTTTCAGTATCAGAATCCCAGACAACAGGGGGATCCCTGGATGTGTGTTATGTCACGTTATAGTACTTTGATTTGCTCTTGAAGCTCTTGTTGATTTATACTGGTGCTAATCTCTAAGGCCTCCAAACAGAGTAAATAGGTTTGGGGCTCTTACGTGTGCAAGATGTCTTTTTTCATGCCTGGGAAATCAACTTTCTTTTCCACACCATAATAGAGGAATGTGTGGGCCTTACTGAAAGAGGAATACAGCATCACTAAAATAAAGATGTGCCTTTTAAAATGTAAATGTACAGCAAATGCTTAAACTTGAACCATTTCCTAGTGCCTTGCTGGACAAGAGAGAAGCGGGGAAGGGGTTGGGAGATAAGGATGTAGTGCAGTGTTTGTGTTCGTGTGTGTGGTTTTTAAAATGTTTGACTTTAAGTGCAAAATTTGTGTGAATGACAGTAATTCAGAAGCTCCTGAGTTTCCTCTGTTAAATTGATGTCATTAATAACTCGGGGTGGGGGGGAAAGGGGGGAAATCACTCCAAATAGAAAGACTTGGAAAGGATGGCAGGTTCCTCTTGGTGCACTGTAACAAGTAAAGCTGGACCAGAGGGTGTCTTGGTTTGCTGTTGGCTGTTTCACCTCATGGTGAAGGCTCACGCATTTCACCGCCATGCAAGATCCTGCATTTTATTGTCTAAGGATCGAAATCCCAAATCACAAATAGTCCCGAAAGGATATAAAATCTGTAGCAGAAGTGTCTTTCAGAAAGCCGATGCCTTCCATCACTGGGAAAGTTTGAAAGGGTGTGTTCAAATCTCTAATACAGAAGTAGCAAGAAAGCAATTTCTCAGCTTAACTTTCTTCCTGGCTTGTTTTACAGTAGTCTGTGCGCGGGGCTTTGCTTTCCTTTACTGGAGAGTTCCAGTCAGCAAACTTTTTTTCTTCCCTGTTGCACGGAGACATCAGCGTACTGAAACTCAAACAGGCACCACGGCAACCTGCATTGCAAGAACACAGTAGCTACTGTAGGATCATTACAGTAACTGTGCTTGCATCACTGAGGGGAGAGGAGAGAGAGCTCCTTAAAGTCATACTGGGCAGTCGTGTAACTGCTGGGCAAAAAGGCAGAAGCTTTTATCTTAAATTATCTTTCAAGATACGGACAGACACTGGAATGGTTTTGACTGGAGAGAACAGAGAGGATCTAGCAGTCAGCCCCTCATGGTTTCTATCAAAAGAGCCCTGGCAAAGTTACATCTGAAACAGGCTGGCTCTGCTGGCACAGGGCACTGAAGTGCACCGCGCATCCCACATCCACTCCCAGCTGCTGCCCTTCCTGGTCCCACTCACCTACTGGACTTCTGACCACTTGCAACAACGGAGCCTGCTGGTGCCTAAATCGGTCCTTATCTGACAAGTGGCAATCTCGGTTTCCATTTTAACGGTCATTAAGCATGAAAAGCTTCTTAAATAGTTAGCAAACTGTTGCCAAAATGCTGAGTAGCTTTAGGTTAACGTCAGAGTCTGTGGGGGTGGGATTAAAAGGTCTTTTACAGGATACATGGCAAAAAGGGGAGCTGGACTGGGAGTCAGGATCACTGGGTCCTGCTCCCAGTCCACCTGTGGCCTATTTCTTGATCTCAAGCAAGGACAGTCTGTGTGCTGCAACTTCCCAGCCTGTGTAAGGTATAGCTTTAAGCACTTTATTTGCTGATGTAATGACTCTATTTTAAAACTAGCTGCAAGTCCTCACCTGGTTTGAGTGAAGAGGAGAGATGCAATGGGTTGAGAAAGGGAAGGCTGAGATCTGAAATTTCCATCAGCATTCAACACACACTTGTCAATTCATTTCATATTCCTGATTAACCAGTCAGACTGATTTATTCACATAAATTTCAAGTGGAACTGAAATAAACTCAGCTCTGCTCTGATTGCTGCGTTGTAGTGTCACGCTTTTAACTTGGAAGATCTGTGTATAAAACTAGGCAATGATAGATTATGGAAATCCTAATAAAAATCCTGTGTCTGTTTTTTGGCTCTGCCTCTCCTAGCTGAGTATATGCTTATTTATTTGCTGCATTTGAGCTTTCTTGATGCTTCTGTATGACCCAAAAAGCTTCAATGATTCCAGCAGATGTGAGGGTTTGGGGAGTTTTATATAAAGCCACTGGATGTATGTGGTCTTATATTTATTTGCTGCATTTGAGCTTTCTTGATGCTTCTGTATGACCCAAAAAGCTTCAATGATTCCAGCAGATGTGAGGGTTTGGGGAGTTTTATATAAAGCCACTGGATCTATGTGGTCTTAAATCTGTTAGTTCAACCCTAGAAAAAAAAAGTCCTAATCCCAATTAGCGAGCAAGCAAATGGGAACTCCATCCACAAAACAAGATAAAAACTGATCAAGCTAATACATTAAAACGTTAGCTGTTATGATAACAATAACAAATAGCTTTAGCCTCTAGGGTGGAGAAGGGAATTGGTTTCAAAATGCATTCTCTGGGATCTCGGTGATAAGGTCTAAGTTTGTCTGTTCCTTGTACTGCATGCATTTTATCTGTAAAACTGGATGGTGCCTCTTGAATCAGTGTATATTTATTTCCATGCGTATTAGGACCAGCAGCCTAATATCTGGGGGTGGTAAAGGACTTGTAGCACTTTAATGTAGTAGCTTTCATAAATCGGGAATCATTGATAGAATGCCTAGTGTTTTTAAAGTTGAATGGACTTCCTTTTATAATATATTTAAAATAAATTTTTAATGTGTTTTCTGAAACTGTGTATGCAGAAATGACTGTCCCTGCCTGGTTTGCTCCAGTGATTGATTTCCCTTCTCTCTACTTCTTACGAGAATAAGGTTAGTTACCCTGGGCTGGTGTTTCCTCAGCATAGGCTTCCTACACATCACGCACTGGTCTTCTCCTCTCCTTCCCTTCGGGGAACATCCTTCCTGGCTGCCCTGTGAAGGTATTGGGAATAAATTGCAGGTTTTGCTGTGTTCATGCACAAGCAGCGCTTGCGCCTGAGCGCTGTGTTGGGTTCACATGGCAGGATCAGGCAGCTGGGGGCTGCAGAGATACCTGAGGGACAGGAGCTGTGAACTCCCATCTGCCCCTCACCGTTGCTTCCAGCCAGCTCT